CTCTACAATGGAGGCTGAGTTCATAGCCTTTGATAAAGCCGGTGAAGAAGCTGAATGGCTCCGGAATTTCTTGGAAGACATTCCATTTGGCCCAAACCGTTGGCACCAATATGCATACATTGCGATAGTCAAGCGGCAATTGGAAGGGCTGGGAGCGTTATGTATAACGTTAAATCTCGTCATATACGACGAAGACATAAAACCGTTAGGCAACTACTCTCTAGAGGAATTATCACGATTGACTACGTAAAGTCAAGTGATAATGTGTCGGATCCACTTACAAAAGGCCTAACTAGAGAGGAGTTGAGAAATCATCGAGGGGAATGGGACTATAGCCAAGAACAAGTCATTGTGGCGGTAACTCTACCTAGAAGACTGGAGATCCTAAGATTTAGGTTCAAGGAGATCAAACAAAGTCATTAATGACGGTTTAACATTGTCAACTAAAATTTTGGTCCATTCTCGTGATGAGACAATGTTCAGTACCAAGGATAAAGTATTAAGGCTTTTTAATGATTTCTAAATTTGATATGGGGTATATCAAATAGTGTATCTACGGGATGACACGTTTAGGAATCACCTATGTAAGTGTGAAGTGTTAGCCGCTTCAAGGAGAATTTGTAAGGCCAGTTCTCTACGCACTTATAAAACCAGGCGGTGTTCATGGCTGAAACGAACATAACAATGAGAACCAAAGATGGTTAAGGGTTGGTTGTGTGACTTATCGTTGTCTAGGTATACACCAAAGTTCGACAGTTCAAATATATCAAATCTACCGATTGACCGAGTATATCCGACATAAGTTCACTACGGAAAGTTCAAAGAGAAACCTACTTATTCAAATGCGATTAATCCTTGCTTGCGAATCACACAGTTTTTCATGCATAATTCCGTGATATAGCCATTCCCCATCCATGTGGGGGGATTGTTGGATTTTTAAGCTTAATGTACCTTAAAAGAGGGTGAATGGGAAATGGAGGAAAAATAAAATATTTGAGATTCCCTCCTTGACAAAGGGACATTGTCCCATATTGGAAGAGGAAAAAGTTTTTGATGGGTATATATACAATTGCCCTTCTTCTAGCTCTTAAAGAGTTAAGAAGAAGGCAAGCCTCGCGCCGTCGTCGTCGCTCGCTCGGTTCAACTTCGGCTTCGGCTTCGGTTTCGGACGGATTCTGATCCGGATTTGGTCAAACGATCGATTGATTGATTAACTTTTGGACCAAATTTATTTGTTAATAGTAAATATTAACGTAATATTATTAAATATCCGTTTTTTGTAAACGGAAAATTAATATTAAATCCAATGGAATATTAAGCGTTTTTCCGTTATCCGTTTTCCGTTTTTGCAACGGAAAATTAAGTTTCCTCCTCATTATGAATTCCCAGTTTATTGTTGTGTAAATAGCCATTTACGTTATGGCCGTTTTACGTAAACAACCCTTCTGAAGAGATGCACCTCTTCAATTTGAGCTCAACATATTGGCTATAAATAGTAGTTCATGCTCTCAGATTTTCCATACGAATTTCTGAGTTCTCCTCCTTTCTTCTGCATTGTTTTAACTACAAAGAAAGCAACAGTAAATGTGATTTGCTACCGATCTTTGTGTTCGCTGAAACACTGGGGTTTGAAGTACCGCTACACCAGTTTGTAATTCGTTCTATCCTGGGAGGAAATAATCCACAACCTTGGGTACTAGGAGGGGATTAAATTCCTTAAGGAAACACTGTGAATTCATTTGGCTCGGATTAAATTTTGTGTGGATATGAAATAAAATGAATTCAAGGACAAAGTCGCCGGTATACTGTGATCTAGATCCAGGAAGGGCCAGACTGTTTTGTTTACACTTCTGTTTATATGTTATTTTATCTTCTCCAGAATTATTTTACAAATACAGTTTACTAACAACACCTATATCAGTAAATATCGACATCATATGCCTCAAGACACCAATAAATTAACCACTTTCGGTATCACAACAATATAAACTAATACAATAGATAAATTTAGCCATCATAGGCAATAAATGAATCAACTGCATCAACTAAATGTGTCGAATCTCAACTCAATACCAAAAAATAAATTATTTACTCGCTCCATACAAATAAAACATGATACAGTTTGCTTTGGAACAAACAGAAACGTGGTTTAAAAGTAAAGATAAGCCAAGTGTACAAAAATCTAAACTATTTGTTGGAAGAGAAATCTCTCAAATTGGTCGGCTGTGGTATAGATTTCACTTCCAACAAAATAGTTTAGGTTTTTTACGCTTTTCTTTGTTCGTATTTAAAATTTAGAAAAGAAAGGCAATCGATTTGAGCGAGATTTTATCATTACATTGCCATGAACTAAACAAGGTATAACTCAATAATATAAAAGCTTAAGAGCTTTAATGGGTCAAATATAGCCTCAAAGTATGCGTGTGAGACCAAATATACCTCCGTATGAGGCCATTTAAAATGAGGGATATTTGGAGCAAGTATTTGATAGCTGGGGAATGGTTGTGCTAAAGTATCGTCGACGGACAAATTCTCTTAATTTCGCATAGTTTAATGACATATTTGGACCTCTTAAAATGGGCTTTTTTTTCCAACCATTATTCATTCTTTATGTATTACTCACTCCATCTCAAATTATATGTCGTATATTCTAAAAGCAGATGTCCCAAATATTTTATCGTTTATAAGTTAAAGACAAAATTAATTAATTTTCTCATTCTACCGTAATAGTAGTAGTTATTCTTGAAGACTACTCATCAATTATGGAGTAAATATTCAATGAAGAGAGATTATACCCTAAGACATAGGTAAGGTTAAAATAGTCAAAAACTCCTCCTAATTAATATCTTCTTAAGAAGCGTGTATAAAAAAATACGATAAATAATTTAAGATGGAGGAAATATTTATCAGCCCTGCATAATGTCTTCTGATTCTTTATGTACTACTCAGGCTGAAAGAGTAGTAAGAACTAACTAGTATATATTAGTATGAAACCTAGATAATGATATGTTACAAATCACCAATAAAATTGTGTCTCAAAATTGAGAAAGATATAAGAGTTTAATTGGCGTTGACATGTGTGGAAGAAGAAAGAGGTTGAAGTATTTCAACAACGCTCGATAAAGTTATGATCATGCACGCTAAAATCAATTACTATTTAAAATAAATTAAAATTAATGCACTACAATAGTTCTATAAATATTAGTATATCTTATGAGAAGATCAAAAATATAGTTAGACGTATTTTTTTAAAGAAATCCTATGTAAAGTTTTAAAAATATATGAATACTTATATATCGGTTAAACTCGATTTTTCCGACCTCAATATCGAGCAAAATCAAATTGAATGCATATCAAATTTTTACGTAATAGATTTAGTTCCATCATTTGATTTGATTTGAACACCCCTTATAACCACTATATCACTAAAACTCTGCAGAGATGCGTTTTTGAGCGAGTTGAAAAAAAAAAAGAGACTACATATGCATTAGCAAAGTCTCTCTATAAAACAGATCCTCGCCTTTCAGTCTTTTCCGCGAACGCATGGTGAGCAGAGACAAAATCTGGATTTCAAGCTTATGAATTCGAGATTGTAATTATTTTAAGTTACCGGGTTCTAATTAATAAGTTATAAATATTCAATGAATTTTTAAGACCGGGGGCGGAGCTAGTCCATCGAGTACGAGTTCGACCGAACCCAGTTGCTTTGATCCAATCCATGTATTTGTCTTAAAAATCCATTAAATATATACAAATTATTAATTTAGAACCCAGTTACTTAAAAAGACTATAACTTCGAACCCATAAGTTTCAAATCCTGGCTCCGCCTCTGTTTAAGACATATCACAAGGTTCCTGTTTAAGACATACACAAGATTGGAAGTAAAGCTATTGGGTTCGGCCGAACCCGTTCCCGACACTCTAGCTCTGCCCCTGACGGTGAGTCCATTTTGTTTTATTCCTCTTATCCTTTTCGTGAAGCAAAAGAGGTCGAGTCAAATAGATATTACCATATGAAACCTCCTACGGGATGTTGTTCAGTGATCTTTGATAGACGGAAGTATTTGGAGTTTGCTATTGCTGTTAGAGCTCTCTGCTGCTAAACAGAATGCTAGTGCTGCTAACAATAAAGTTGTATATTGTTTTTGTTTGCAGTCTTTGTTATTATTTCAAACACTCGTTTATAACGGTGATGTCTGAATCAATTTGTACACTCCTCGGTTAATATGTATCGGGTTACTTTGCCCACCTAGCTCGGGTAACTAATAAGTTACATGGATTGAATCAATTTGTACACCAAAATGCTGATTGACATGATCAACTTCATTTTCTCCATGCTTCCCACTAGTAGACTAGTAGTAAAGGATGTACAAACGTGTGTACGTTCTCGAACATCCTCAATTAATCAGAGAAAGTTGTCCTTTTGACGAATGGGGTATATAGTAGTGGTGTTGTCACTTATCATCATCTTAATTAATCGTGTCCTGAACTGCATAATGAAGTCTTTTTTTATTTTTACTTTTTCTTTTTGGGATATTCTAAGATAGTAGAGTTATTTTTAATTTTCTTCAGCTGAGCAGTGGGAACTGGTGGGGTGTGGTTGTGTGTGTTCAGAGGCGGAGCGAGGATTTGAAGCTTATGGGTTCGAGATTCTAATCCTTTTGAGTTATTGGGTTGTAAATTAATAATTTGTACATATGCAATGAATTTTGTAAGCCAAACACATGGTTTGAACCAAATCTAGTGGATTCCGCCGAACCCGTAGATAACATGCTGGCTCCGCCCTGTGCGTGTTTGGGGGGGGGGGGTTGTTGGTAATAGGCAATAAACAAGGAGCATTTTAATGTGTAGAGACAAAAAGGATTGTCAGATTCTAACACATCCCACTAATAGTTTAGTACAAAAGCAACTGCCTTAGGTTTTGCTGCAATTTCCAGTTCTTCTCACAGTCAGATATTTTCTCAACTAAATATAGCAAAATACACACACACATAGACAAAATATATGGAAATTAAGCTTAAATTAAAGAGCAGCAAGCTGCTGAATGTTGATAGGATAAACAACATCAGGACCACCACTAAAAGCTCTCCTTCCAAATAAGATATTCACTGCTTCAGTTGGGTGAAATGCATCCCAAAATATATATTGATCCCTGTTTGGACATGGTGTTTGCAATGGTAAACATGTTATTTGCCCTCTGTTTCTCCCTATTCCACAGCACCCTCGGTTTATCACGCTAAATCCTGCAATTACAAGCAAGTTGGGTCGGCTAAATGAATTTTAAATATTCATGTTACTCCAAAAGGGATTCTCAACAACAATAACAACAATAACAATAGACCCTTTATATTTCCACATATGGGGTCTGGGAAGGCTAGTGTATATGCTGACCTTTACCCTACCGAGTGAAGATAGAGATGCTGTTTTCAATAGACGCTCAGTTCAGAAAAGGTAAGAAGAAGAGGAAGAAGAAGAAAAAAAAGAAAGAAAAGGAGAGAAAAGAATAAGTAGTGCCAAATAGTAACTACAGAGAAATACAATAACTGAAACGAACTATCCAAAGGGGTTTTCATGAGTTCAGTATGATAAGAAAGTTGTAAATATTTACTTACCATATCGTCTGTAATTGGTAAGGAGATCTTGGAACATGTTCTTAATGTCAATGTAGATGAATTTTGAACCAGGAAGATTGGTATTTAAGTTGCTAAGCATTGACTTAACATTGTTACTGAATGGCAAAATAAGCTGATTCACTTCCTCTGAGCACACATTACCATTACCCTGTGCAAGAATACTTGGAATGCAACCCATTAGTCCTACTCCACCAATCACAAATTTTCTTGCTCCAAGATTATACAATCTCTGCAATTTCAAAAATAAAAATAAAATAATAATATAATAACATTAATTAGATAGTAAAAGAAGGTATTCATGAAGAAAAAAAGCATTAAAAAAAGGCAGGGCAGCCTGATGCACAAAGCATCCCGTATTCACATAGGGTTTGGGGAAGGGTCATTACCCCAAGGGGTGTGATGTAGACAGTCTACCCTAATGCAAACATAAGTGGCTGCTTTTGTTGCTCGAAGTCATGACCTATTGGTCACATGAAGACAATATTATCGTTGCACCGAGGTATTCATGAAGACAAAAAGAATTTTAAAAAAAAGGACAGGCAGTCTGGTGCACGAAGCACCCTGCATTCACGCATAGTACTGACCAATTTTCAAAGGGGTACTGTGATATAGACAACCTACTCTAATACAAGTACTAATGGCTGCTTCTATGGCTCGTACCCGTGACCTATATAGGTAACATGGAAACAACTTTACTGTTGTCTCCAAAGCTCCCCTTAAAGGATAAAAAATAAAGAAAGGAAGAAATATATATCTTACAGTAAGTTGTTGGCTATACTGTTGAACCAAGAGATTGGCATATTGCTGAGGATTATAACGATTCTTAGTGTCATAATTAGGCATTAGATAATTGTTGAGGTAGTCATTGCTTCCCATTCCAACAAAGAACATGCATTTGGCTAATGCTTGTGCTACATCTGGTGCTCCAAGATTATCTGTAATTTGATCAAGTGTGTTTTCAAAGTTCTTGATTTGCTGATTGAATGGAATTCTCCCAACCTGGAATATAATATCCAAAATTAACAAAAACTCAAATAATTATTAATTTAAGTTCCTTGTTGGATTTCCTTCTTGATCAATAACAACTGCAACATTGTCATCGTATCGAAATAAATATGAGTAATATATTAATTAGGAAATGCAATAATTAAGAACTTACAAAGTTTCTGCCAGTAATATCAAGAATCCCAGCAGCAGCAGAAGCATAGTTCACTCCATAGCGCGTTTTGTCTCCTGAAGTATCTGCTGAAGCTTCTGTGTATGCTGGAATGAGTGGTAGTCCTAGCAGTTCAGCTGTGCATGTACATGCCAATTAAGTATCAGTATTAATTTTCTGATTTGTTTTCTTGCTCAATTATTATTATATTACCTAAATATATTCTCTTCAGGCTGTATTGAGTACAGTATATCTATCAAGCCATTCTTATAACTTCTGTTTGGCTATATATATAGGTTAAAAGGGTATTATATGGAAAGATTCTTTCTATTAGAATCAGAGGCGAACCTACTTGTAATGATATATGAGGGGTCATTGGACCCGTAAGCTTCCGTAAACATCTTGTATATGTATGTATCTATACCTTGAAAATTATGATTATGATAGATAACTTGACACCCTGAACACTATAAACCTTTAGGCGGGCACTGCTAAAAAGAATAGTAATGCCCACATCGCATTAAAATCCTAGATCCACCTTTGATTATAAAAGTTTTCTAATATTCATCAATGTCCCTTGTTTTATTTTAGATAATGAATCCACTTCTATATTGAAAATATAATGAAAAATAACAAGTTAAGTAATATATAACCTGTTGTTACGAGTAAACATCATTTGAATTGGCTGAATAAACCCTTCTAATATTTAGCTTTTAACATGTGGATCTAAACTTACTACCTTAATGAATAACTAGCTAGAGATCAAGCCTAAACACACTGCATAATTTTCATCTCATGCAAAATAGCATCTCTATATATAAATAGTGAAAATTCCCTACAGCAAGAGTAGGAAAATTAACATACGTAAACAAGAATCAAGAAGGTATGCAGAAATGAAATTAAACTCCATGCAATAAGGGCAGCCCCCTGTTCATGCAGGGTCTGGGGAAGGGCCGCACCCCGATATTATGTCGACAACTTAAAAGGGGAAGAGCTCCCGCTACGCGAGGGTCAGTGGAAGAGCCGGACCACAAAGGTCTATTGTACGCAACTTTACCCCGCATTTCTGCAAGAGAATGTTTTAACGGCTTGAACCCGTGACCTCCTGGTCACATGGCAACAACTTTACCAGTTACGCCAAGGCTCTCATACACTATGTAGACAGCCTAAATGTAACAAAAAACATGTGTGTTAAATTTAATTACCAATTTCATCAACCATAGTGTAACCATTGGAGAAACGACCAGTAGGGCCACCATCAAAATCAATCCCATAAGGGAAATAGTTGGCCTTTGCAAAAGAGGGCAAGTTGTTATTATTGCCATTGTCTATCAAAGAATCTCCAAATATAAACATGGCTGGAACCAGTGCCCTTCCTCTTCCACCAGCTTCTGGTGCCAATGCATCATCCACTTCTTGACATATTGCACTATTCACCAACAATAACACCACAAATAATGTACAAGAAAATATCCTTATAAACTCATTATTACCCATTTTTCTTAAACTAGGTGTGTTATATTCTTTTTTTTCCCCCCTTTTCTTGACAAGTTTATGATGAGAAATGAAGGGAATGTGAGGGTTTAATAGAGGGAAGAATAGCGGTGGTTGGAGAGGAGTGAATGCTTTCACCTGTAAGCTGTTTTTTGCAGTAAATGAGTAAATATACTGGAATTCTTTTTGGAAATTTTGAGATTCAAACACATATAGACCGCGTTTTTGCCATAAATATATTAGTCTTCTGATCATTCCCATCCTTTTTGGGCGAAAATCATTTTTAGCCCGTGGTCGAAACTATTTTACGTACATTCGGTAGCCGCAAAAGTGTATAAATTTTGTATATCTTTTGTATACAATATATATATATATATATATATATATATATATATATATATATATATATATATATATATATATTCGGCTATTATGTTGAAAGCGGCTATACAATATTATTTCTTTCGCGTCCTTTTTTTGTCTTCTAAGGTGAAATGTTTCACCAATTTGAAGAGTATTTCAACTTCAAATAATTTGAAAAAAATAGTTCAAGTTCTAATATTCATAAATACATACGAACCTTTTGTTAGAAGGAATAATTTGTAGATTAAATGGTACAAAATAATTTGTTAAAAGTTGAATAGGAGAAAATTAGTGATCTTATTAATTATAAGGATCTTTTGTGTTTTATATTTCCAATCTTCCACGTTTAAACATATATAAAGGCCTCTTGTGAAATTAGCCATATAACTAAAAGCACATTTATAACGGGCCATATAAGCTTTGAACCTTAATTTATAAGGTGATTTTCTTACTTTCAAATATCAACATGCAACTAAACAGTAAAAGTTTGATTTTAAGTTTGAGTTGTTAATTAACCTACAAATTAGTTCCTTTAGGATAAATCTAGATGCATTTATGTAATTTTTTAAAATTTATTTACAGGGGAGGGGAAGGGGAAATGGGAAGAGAATTACAAGGCGAGGAATTTAAAGTTTTTCAATTTCTACATCTATTTACGTCAAATGTTAAGGAATGTTCTATATATTATATGGATAAATTAACCAAGATATAGCTTATCAGCTCAAAATATGTAAGCAAATACAACTTGTTGTATTTCCTTAAGTTTACACTGTCTTTTCAGCTAATTAAGCTGTCGACATTTTTTAAAGCAAAAGTTCTCAACTTTAGAACTGTCACATGAAAAAGGAGCAACAAATTGGTGTTTTTTTTAAGGGAGAGCCTTGGAGCAACGTAAAATTGTCTCTGTATGACCTATAGGTCACGGGTTCAAGCCGTGAATAATCAGCTATTGATATTTGTATTAGGGTAGACTGCCTACATGACACCGTCTTGGGTGCGCCCTTACTCGAACCCTGCGTGAACGTAGGATGCTTGGACTGCTTTTTTTCTTTAAAAAACTTAGAGTCGCTTTCACACTCCATATTGTTTTGTCCTAATTTGACCTCAGAGTTGACTTATTCATTATTTCTGAACATATTCTTGAAAATTTTCAAAACCTAGAAACTCGAATACAATTAAAGACGAAAAAAGTCAGCGCCACAAAAACTGAGACACATAGTTAGGTGAGTAAATGAGCTACTACTGTACAGTAACTGCTATAGTGAACATAGTAATATATGTATTCCTATAGAGCTGTCATTACACTGTTTCTAACACCCCCCCCCCCCCCCCCAAACCCAACCCTCCAAAAAAAAAAAAAGAACAAAACCATTGGTTCCTTTGGGCAGCAGCAGCTGTTTCCCTTCATTTAATTAGCTCCATTGGCAGCTGAATAAGCGCATGAAGATGTCTTCACGCAGAAAAAATTACACTTCCCAAGGAGGCAATGCATATGCTTGGCCAGACTTTTTATTTTCAGTTTGTTTTATCTCTATATGCATGCAGAAAGATTATTTCTGGTGTGGTTGGTACTGTTGGGACAGTTCCTTTGTATTTATTGCTACTTCTACTGGTCTTTGTTTGACTCTGCTCCTTTTGGTTTATCCCCATGGGAATCGTTGGTGCATTTACTCGGGGGCGGAGTCAGGATCGGAGATAAAATAACAATAATAAGTGTGACCCCATAAATGAAAACTAGAGAGATCAAATACGGATCCAAGATTTTAATACCATGGGTACACCACCGATCGAGTTTAACATAAACTTGATGCTCGTTATAATGTCAAGTGATGTGAAATATTTTAGTAATTTATGACTTATTATTCATTTATACATTATCCAAAGTGTATACTATTCGAACTTTAACTTGCTATAGACAAAATACTCAAGTAATTCTGGCTGATAAGTGATGATTGTTGAGATTAGTAATGATTGTGGTGGTTAAGCTTCATTAGTTAGTTAGATTAGTTGTAACTAACTTACCTTAGAATAGAGTTAGTGTAACTCAAGTTAGCTTTGATTTTAACTCTAGTTAAGGATTAGAGTTGATTTTATATATTTGCATGTAGAGATACTGAAAATAGTTGAATCAATACAGCTTCTTCTTCTTCTTCCTCTGAAATATCGAACTACATTTCTTCTCTCTAACCAAGATCTACAGCTTCTCATCCATGGCAAATCTCCATGGTTAGCTGATTTCTTCATGGTATCAGAGCCACACGGCCATTAGTGTGGTCTTAATTTCATCCTCAATTCAGATTTCACGAAGCTCATTTGAAGGATCAATAATGGCGAATCTCGATAACACTGAACCAGAGAAGTTAGGTCATAATCATCCACTCTTCCTGAATTCAAATGATAATTCAGGAGCTGTTTTGATTTCATTACAATTGAGAGGACCAGAAAACTACTCTGTGTGGAGTCAGGCAATGCGAATAGCAATTCTAGGCGAAACAAGCTGGGTTTCATCGACGGGACATGCAAAAAGGAGAATTACGGTACGAATCTCATTGATCTGTGGGAACGATGTAATGCGATTGTTTTATCCTGGTTGATGAACTGTGTTTCACCGGAGTTGTTGAGTGGATTGGTGTATTCCTCGAATGCTAGTGAAGTTTGGGATGATTTGAAGGAGCGTTTTGACAAAGTTGATTGCTTTAAGATTTTCAGATCCATAGAGAAATTGCTACAGATAGGCAAGGCACTAGCTCAATTTCCACTTATTTCTCAAAATTAAGAGTACTTTGGGCAGAGTTTGACAGTTTGGCACCGATTCCTGGTCTTAATGCTACAAATTCTCGTGACTTTGTTCAGTTTATGGAGCGTCAAAAGCTTCTACAATTCCTGATGGGACTTAATGAGTCTTATGAACAAGCTCGCAGTCAACTCTTGATGATGGTGCCAGTGCCATCAGTGAACAAGGCATATTCTATGCTAATGGAACGTGAAAGCCAAAGGACTATGGCAAGTGTTTCTGCTAACATGGATAATGTTAAAATGACAGCATTGATGGCCAATAGGGCTAGAAATCAGCAGAAAATGAGGAAGAATTACAACCTCTTCTGTGATTTTTGCAAGATGAAGGGCCATACTAAGGAAGTTTGTTACAAAATAGTGGGGTATCCAAATGATAACAAGTTTAGGAAGAAGTACAACACACAAGCAGCAGCTAACATAGCAGTTGAACAGACTGCACCTGCAGGATGCATTCTAACTCCTACTGCACAAACTTTCACTCCAGAACAGTACCAGCAGATTTTTGCAACTTCGAAATAGCAAGCCTACAGAGGTCACAGCTAATGCAGCAGATCTTGAGTCAGGTAATATCATATGTCTAATGACTTTTTTGAACCAGGGAGACTGGATTGTAGACAATGGAGCCTCCAATCACATGACCTCAAAGATTGACTTATTGAATAATACAGTTCCATTAGACAGTAGTAGCTCAGTTCACTTACCAAATGGAAATCTAGCTAAAATCACTCACAGAGGATCAGCAAATATTTTTAAGGATTGCAAGATTAGTGATGCACTTCATGTTCCACATTTTAAGTATAACCTACTATCAGTTTCAAAGCTTACTAAGGAGTTGCAATGCTTGGTTGCATTCTTTCCTGATCTATGTGTGTTTCAGGACCTCTACACTAGCAATGTGTTGGGGATTGGTAGTGAAGCTAATGGGCTATACATTCTTAGGAGCTGTCTTCATGAGAAACAACCATCTACACCAACTGTAAATACCACAGCTATGCAGATTTCAACATAGAATAAGCAGAGCTTAATAAACCTGGAGGCCTGGCATCAAAGACTTGGACATCTGTCTATGGAAGCTATTAAGAAAATTGGCAAGCTCAAACAACATTTCAGAAAAGAAAGTTCAGAGACTGTATGTTTTAATAGTTCTGTTTGTCCATTAGCCAGGCAAACTAAGTTGCCATTTCCTGTCAGTACTAGTAGAGCAAAGAGTCCACTTGATCTTTTACATGCAGATGTATGGGGGCCATACAGGGTGCCTACATATGACCATAAATTTTTTTTTCTTACAGTTGTTGATGACTTCTCTAGAACCACTTGGTTGTTTCTGATGAATGCCAAAGATGAAACCTATTGGTTGATGAAAGGACTGATTTCCATGATTCACACACAGTTTAACTGTTCTGTTAGAGCTATAAGAACGACAATGGATCAAAATTTGTTAATTCAGATGTGAAACACTTCTTAGAGTCACATGGAATTGTTCATCAAACAACATGTGTGTACACTCCACAACAGAATGGTGTTGTGGAGAGGATACATAGATATATTCTAGAAGTGGCAAGAGCCTTAAGGTTCCAGGATGCCATCCCTCTAAAATTTTGGGGTGAGTGTGTTCTTACAGCAATACATATCATAAATAGGTTACCCTCTATAGTTTTAAAGGGTAAATCTCCATATGAAAAGCTGTTTAATACTGAACCTTCTTTAGACCATATGAGAGTGTTTGGCTGCTTATGTTATGCTGTGAATGTTAGGAGGCCTGCAGTGTTTATGGGGTATTCTCCAACTAAAAAGGGCTACAAATTATATGATCTGCAATCTAAACAGTTTATTGTTAGCAGGGATGTTGTCTTTAAGGAACATATATTTCCTTTCAGACAAATGAAGCTATCACCTGTTCCATTCTTTCCTGTACTTGAGCCAGCTGATGTACCAAATACTTCAGAGATATTGTATGAAGATTTAGCAGATGATCATACTGCAGACCATGATAATGATGCTGAACAAAGGAATGAAGCAGTCACTGAAGAGCCAGACACCCCACTTAGTACTCCTCCTGTACCAGTTGTTGACAATGTTGCTCCTGATGTTGTACCACAATTGCAAACTGAGTCTTTACATTTGCAAGATGTGGATGATGCACTGCTAATTGCAGTCAGAAAACATCCCAGAACTGCAGGACCACCAAAATGGGTGCAGGACTTTGTGTCCACATCTTGTGCATATCCTATGTCAGACTACCTGAGTTATGATAGGTTATCTCCTTCTTATGTTAGATGTTTGTCAGCTCAATTCTCTATAGTTGAGCCCAAGCATTATCATGAAGCTTCAAAAGATGAAAGATGGGTAGCTGCTATGCAACAAGAAGTCACAACATTAGAAGAAAACAACACATGGGATGTTGTTGATCTGCCTGCACATAAAGTTCCTATAGGATGCAAATGGGTATACAAAGTGAAGTACCAAGCTGACGGTAAAGTGGAGAGACTTAAAGCTAGACTTGTAGCCAAAGGTTTCAGTCAAAAGGAAAGCCTAGACCACAAGGAAACATTTTCACCAGTGGCCAAGATGGTCACTGTTAGATCAGTCATAGCAGTAACAGCCTCTAAACATTGGCACATTTATCAAATGGATGTGCACAATGCATTCTTGCAAGGTGACTTATTTGAAGAAGTGTACATGCATCTACCATAAGGGTACAACATCAAGGGGGAGTCCAAGAACAAGGTGTGCAAGCTAAAGAAGTCACTCTATGGCTTGAAGTACGCTTCAAGACAATGGAACTTGAAGTTGACAGAAGCCCTTAGAGATTTGGGATTTTTTCAAAGTCATTTTGACTACTCTTTGTTTTCACAACAGAGAGGGTCAGCTTTGGTTTTCATTCTAGTCTATGTAGATGACCTCCTAGTTATAGGAAATGATCCTAACCTAATTCAGTCTGCTAGGGAAAATCTGCAGAAGAAGTTCAAAATGAAAGATTTGGGGGAGCTTAGATTCTTTTTGGACATAGAATTTGCTCGCATCAAGGCTGGCATTCTGATGAATCAGAGGAAATATGCACTTGACTTGATAGCTGATTCTGGGCTAGGGGGAGCTAAGCCAGCATCCACTCCATTAAATGCAATCAAAGGCTGACTACAGCAGAACTTGATGAAGTTGTCTTGGGTTTTGAGGATGCCACAAGTATAGGAGTGAAGGACAATATGTTACCTGATCTTGAACCTTATCAAAGGTTAGTGGGCAGGTTGCTATACTTAACTATAACAAGTCCTGATATAGCCTATGTTGTTCAGGTTCTCAGTCAATTCATGCATAAACCTAAGAGATCGCATATGGATGCAGCATTGAGGGTGATCAGGTATGTCAAAAATGCACCATTAGGCTTATTAATGCCTTCACAGTAGTCTAAAAGCTTGGTTGTATTTTGTGACTCAGACTGGGCTTCTTGTCCTCAGTCCAGGAAATCAGTCACAGGGTATCTAGTCAAATTTGGCAATTCCTTGATATCATGGAAGTCTAAGAAACAAAACACAGTCTCCAGAAGTTTGGCAAAAGCAGAGTTCAGAAGTATGGCCTCCACAGTGGCAGAAGTGTCATGGTTAGTAGGATTGTTCAAAGAGTTGGGAATCCAGATTCAGTTGCTATTACCTTGCATTGTGACAGTAAAGCAGCCATTTAGATAGCTGCAAATCCCATTTTTCATGAGAGGACAAAGCACATTGACATTGATTGTCATTTTGTGCGAGAAAAGCTGCAGCAGGGCCTTATCCAGACTCATCACATTAACGCCAAGTTGCAATTGGCAGATATACTTACTAAAGGTCTAGGGAAGGCCCAACACTATTCTTTGTTTAGCAAGCTGGGGGTTGAAAATTTGTTCATACCCATCAGCTTGAGGGAGAGTGTTGAGATTAGTAATGATTGTTGTGGTTAAACTTCATTAGTTAGTTAGATCAGTTGTAACTAACTTACCTTAGAATAGAGTTAGTGTAACTCAAGTTAGCTTTGGTTTTAACTCTAGTTAAGGATTAGAGTTGATTTTATATATTTGCATGTACAGATACTGAAAACAGTTGAATCAATATAGCTTCTTCTTCTTCTTCCTCTAAAATATCGAACTACATTTCTTCTCTCTAACCTAGATCTACAACTTCTCATCCATGGCAAATCTCCATGGTTAGCTGATTTCTTCTTAGCTTGTGAGCACAAAAATTGTCTCTTTCCTGAACTGTCTCCCCATTTAGAAAAAATATAGGCTTACCTTTTATTTGTTTTACGAAATAACATTTTTTCTTCATTTAAACTTTTAATTAAATATATAAGGTAAATATATGACTTGGTGAATTAACTTAATATAATTTCTCTTCATATTGATTGTTCAACGTAAACATATTTATCTCAAGATAAGTTACCACAGAATTCTTGCAGTATCTAACTTGGTCTTCCAGTTGTTTGACCAAAAGGTGTTAAGCTTTTTGTTAAACTAACTAATAAGAAAATAGAGGATAAATCCCAGCCAAGGATAATTAACTCTAGATCAAAACACATTGAATAAGAGAATAAGATATAGTCAAGCTCATGAACTTTTAAAATTTAAAAGAGATATGGAACATAAATGACATGCTTACATTCTTGATGTACTGTTCCGTAATGTAAGAGTAAAGAAGGAAAAGAAGGAATGCCATTAACATCTGCAAGATCTATCTTTATTGATTCAAGAAAGATGATTACAAAGATTTGTAATAAGATCCGAAACTTCTCTTATTTTTCTCATGCAGCCTTCTCCGATTCTTCCCCCTCTCTTCTGAAGCAGATCCCCCCATATATATAATGAGTATTCCCTTTTATCCAACGGTTCTTAGCCAAAATACCTTAATTTGTTGATTGTACGTTGGGTTGTTCCCCTTAAATGTCACGACATATGCTTCGCCGTACAAGCTTTCTGATAGTTCGATCCTGACAGCGGCCGAAATACTCGTCGTTATGATGTCTTACAAATATGACCACGACTTAGTAGGCCCCTCGCCATTCCTTTTAGTGCTGATCCACGTGTGGTCAGATTTCGACCCATACAGTTAGTCCCTCCGCTTATTGAGGTCGCTTTTTAGGCGAGCTCGATGGGCGGACTTCATCGATCAGAACTTTTATGAGAAATCCGAGCGCCATGGGCGATGGGAGAATACCTCGTAGCGAGGTGGCGATATGACGTTTCGGGAGTTGTATCGAACCGTCACTTCAGTTCAGAATGTCATTAAAGCTCATCATGCGTCATCATGGCACACATTTTCTATGTATGGCGTCGTTTCCCGTGCCCTTTCCCTTTCAAAGCGGCGGCGTTTGGCTTTTCCGCTCAGGGCATTTTACATTTCTATAAATAGGGGAAGGTCTTTCATTTGAATGCTACGCTTCTTAATTGCTCACGAGAGATTTTTGTGATATTCTTCTTCTTCTTCTTCTTCAGTTTCTCATACTTTTGTCCGTTAGGATTTGCTGTGAACACTACCTTTTTCCCTCACCATTCTCGTTTCTTTCAATCAAAGAAAAGATGGTTAGTGGAGACTCCAACTTTGATGGATCCATTGGTGCTCCGCTACCGGAAAATGTACCCCTAATCGGAGAGGGAGAGGGTCCGGTGGAATACAAGAGTTTTCCGACGGTAGATGAGGTGGTTCCTCGTCCAGGGAAGGCGAGAACTGACTTCAATAGCCCTGCTGGAGATGAGCCAGAACCCGTTTTTTCTATGATGGATGCTGCGGCGCTCACGTTCAAAGCCAAATGGGGGATCCCTGATCACATTGAGTTGGTTCCTGCGGACCGGGATATAGTGCATATATACCGTCCGGGCCACTGCGCGTTTTATGCGTATCCCTTTGTCATCGAGTACACGCTTCCCCTTCCTTCCCTGGTGGTGGATTTCTGCCGCTTCTATGAGGTGTGTGCGGCTCAACTCTCTCCGTACGCGTACAAACTTTTCCTTATGCTCATCAAGTACGCGGAGCTCGCCGACCCTGAAATTTTCCTAGAACACATGCTATACCTCTTCGCCCCCTATTTTCTTAGGAGTACGATGATTCACATGCGTCACTGAGGAGCCAAGAGTTTGGTGGTGAAGATGGATGATAAGGCAAATTGCCGCTTTTGGGAGAGCTTCTTCTACGTCCGAACAGAGCACGTCGTGTCAAACTCGGCGGGGTTTCCTGAGACGTGGAACTTCGCCCGTAGGCCTTCTTTTCTTTTTTACTTCATCCATTTTTCTTAAGAGGGTTGTCGGTCGTCTCCCTTTAATGACCTCGTTGAGGGTTTATTTTTGTTTTTGTAGCCGAGAGGGTGCCTCCTCCACAAGTTGCCGACATTCGCGAATGGGTGTGTGCAATTCTACCTCGCACGATGGGGATCCGCGAATGGGCGCCCTTTCATGAGAGGTTTGGCGTAAACCTTCCACTGGTAAGTCGGCTTATTTCGGCTTTATCTGCTTTATTTCTTTCTTTGTCCTTTTTCTTTATTTTTTATCTTTATTTGAACCAATTTCTTGTTGACAGGTCGGAGAGGAGTGATAAGGGCGAGGGCTCCTCCCCTTGCTTTCTGTCAAGCGGCCCGCACCAAGAGCAACTGCGGGCAAGGGTATACAGAGTTTGGTTGCTCGGCAGACCGCATCTGTGGCCGAAACTGTTCGTTCGGAGGTTGCTCATCGGTCGGAGATTCCGGTCCCCGCAGTCCATTCAACGGGTGAACCTTCTCGCGTCGATGGCGGAGAGGTCCCGTCGAGGAGGCGAAGGATAGTGTTAGAAGGGGCTTCTTTAGCTGAAACGCCCTCGAGTGGCGACCTCGTTTTGACGGTGCCCGAAGCTGGCTGTGGTGCCAGCCTGGGTGAGGAGGCGATGCCCGTTGCAGGCGTTCAAGAGGCTACTGTGGCGAAGAGACGGAGTTCCGAGGCTGCCGCTGCTGTTCCGAGCGGCCCATCATCGTCTCGACCGGCCCGCACCCCATCTTCGGCCAGTAAGAGATTGAAGGGCGTCGTGGTAGATGACTATGAATCCGATTCTGACATTGATCCTGAGGACGTGAGGATGTTCAAGGAGGGCTTTACTAAGGTCGATGTATGGACGGAGGGCCCTTCTCACATACTCGAAATCCCGTAGAATTTTAACCTATTGGAGGTGGATTTGGTGCCTCAGTTTGACCTTCTGTGCTCCGCCGCTGAGAGCAGACCTCTTCAGGAGATCAACGATTCTGGTTTGTCACGCGGTGTGGCTGGGATGGCCCTAAGGGTGAGTTCTTTTTTGTTGTTTTCTTTGTTTTGTGCCCTTTGCTTTTACTGTTTTTCTCTCTTTTCTTTTTGGACTTACATGCTGGAGATCGAGAGCACTCGTAGGGCTGAGACGCAGGCCGAGGTTTTTCTAAACTGGCCGAGAGATATTAGTTGTATCGTAACAGGTTCCGTGAGATGCACGAGCAGCCTAGGGCGGGCGCTAGTACTCAATCCGTCAGGGAGGAGTTGGATAAAAGAGATGAGGAACTGATGCAGTCTATCCGCAGACGTAGCGAGCTCGAGGAGCTATTTTACGCATAAGAGGAGGAGCTCGAGGTTGGCAAATGGGTTGCAGCGGAGTGCGAGGATCTTCTGGCGAAGGTGATGTCTTTATGAGCTGAGCTTGAGCAAAATGCTACTAGAGTCGCCGATCTGAGTGCAGAATGGACGAAGAAGGTGGCCGAGCTGGAAAAGAGGGTGACCCAGTTGGAGAGAGCCGAGGGGGCTCAGTGTTGTCTTTGGCGAGGGCGGTGGCACTAGAAGACACTATCCGCGTCCTCATGTCCGAGCAAGAATCTGAGAGGGCGACGGCCACAATAAGGGAGGCGCGGCTCGCGGAACGGATTGGTGAACTTGATCGGGATGCTTCGATCATGGGAGATCGAGTTGCGGATCTTGAGGCCGAGAAGGTGCGGCTATTGGCTCAGGCTCCCTCTTAAGAATCTGCCTCTGCTACTGTTCCCCGCCGTCTGTATGAGCTATGGGTCCATGCTGAGGCCCAACGAGATATATACAAGGGTTTGTGGGAGGCGGGGAGCATTCCAAGGACGCTTTTGAAGAGGCTCGGGCGAAGGCACGCGGGGCTCGTCTTTCCTGCGGTTACGACCCTGCGACACCGGAGGCCGGTGAGGGTGCTGAGATTGAAGATGGGCTTCCTGCTGATGACGGCGATGCTGGGGAGAACGGCGGAGGAGACGATGCCGAGTGGATTTTTTTTGCAGCTGTTGCTCCAAAACGCACACGCAAGTATACGTGGTCGACAAGTAATATAGGATTATAAGTCCAGATATCGTACCCACAGGGACTTGTGATTAACTATCAACTAAATTAAACCAAACAATTAATCCATTCAAGCGATTCCTAAAGTGTGAATATTTAACTAAAATTAAACTAGAGTAACAAATTAAGAGATCAAAGAAAATAAGTTGGCGAATTATAGAGACGAATTGAATATGAGTGAATATTCTAGAGCTATGGGTTAGCTAACAATCCCGTTGAGTTTTCCACCTAAATCGTCTAATTAATTTATCTGGTTTATTGATTGACAGGGTTAATATTGCTCGTAGCCTTCTCCCGAAGTAGAACTCGCCTATTCAAGCTAACCTANCAAAAGAGTGACTATAGATAGTCCATACATTCAAATATACTTTTGAA